CCCGAAGATATACGATTAGAAGAGGTTCATTACATGGAAAGCACCTCGTCAGGAGTTTGTGGTACGTTACTGTGTTCCGCGATGTTATGGACAACTATCCAAATTTCTCTCCATTCAGTTCTTGCGTTAAATGACGAATGCGATAAAATACCGGAGATTCTGGCTCGGTCATGGGTGAACAGCTATAGGCTGGAAGGGATATTCGGTCGTGAAACAGTGAAGCATAAGATCAAAGGGCGTGTTACGTTAAAGGCGGATTACGGTAACTATACAATTTCTTACTGAAGCAGTCTTGTCAACTGAGACTTGGGTTTCAGATCAGGTGACTCGGCACAGATTAGAGAAGCTTCTTACACGTGTGCAGTCAGAATATCGCAAAGCTGCATTCGTTGCAGCAGAAGTAGACATTCAGGTCCGTTTTTGTTCTAATTCGACTCTTTGTTGGAAGGTTACTTCTGAGATCCACTTTTTTAGAGCGAGGAAGCGTTCGAATTAGCCCGTAAAGGACTACCTCGCGCAAAGCTTCCCGGAGCTCAAATTATCTACAAATGCGAACTTAAGCATTTTAGCCTCCCATATTTCGCCTTGCAAGTGCAAGCTGTAGGTGAAACCGACGTTTTCTTGAGGTAAGATACTGTCACCCTCACTTTCACTGTCAGCGAGATTCGCTCCTAATTTATTTAGGTGTTTTATCCATGAATTGGGCGTTAGTCTTGGGTCTACAGCAAGCTGTGTTCGCTTGACTCGGTGAGGAAATATTGTTTATATAGGAACGCGGATTTATATAACGTTAGTATTCAGGCGAGCATTTGGACCATTTCACGCTGGTCATGCGTTATTAGAGAAGCAAATATCACTCCAAAACATCATTAGAAACTTGGAGCTATGCAGGTAAGTCTTCTCAGTTTGCTTTTGGTCACACAACATACCTTTCTTTATTGATGACATAATTAAAATTTTTGAAAAGTATCGTTCTAAGCAAAATGGTTCCGCCTACATAATGGTACAAAAAGCGAATAAAATCAGTACATATATCACCGGTTCCCGATTTGCTTGGGCGGTTAGCGGACTTTCCCCCGATCTAAGGGAACTTGTTGAACCTCCACGTTT